GTCTATCTTACTGGGGGGGGGGGGAATATAACAAGTAGATGTTTCCTCGTGCTTCATATATTAAAGGTTCACCAGGGAAAGGTTTTCAGTTATGATTTGGTCATGAGATAAATGTAAGCATTCACTAAACATTGAAATGTTTTTTAAAGGTGGGCTGGTAGTTAAACTCTCCTGAAGTTACGTGCTTTACGGAAATTACCTGATTCTTCACCTTGTGAAATCTGGTAAGAATTACGTTGTTCATAACAAAGGCTCTAAATTTATTTGAGTGCGTGTATTTACTTAGAAGTCCAAGGCTTTGACTACCAACCTGCTGAACAAAACAAAGACTTATTGTTGCCCCTTTTTAAACTGCCGTGTACAACTTCTTACCCAAACCTTTGCTTTGGGTTTACTTTACACAAAACCTTTGCACTGGCCATTCTGACCCATGACCTCACTTACCTGCTCTTTGTTACAGCACTCTTGTATCCTGCCTGATGATAGTAAATCACATTGCTACAAAAAAAAAAGTGCATTACTAGCATTATTGAATCTCCCAGATTAACTCCTATAATTTATCTCTTTGTGGCACTCTTGGCAGAATAACTATTTTCTGATGTATTTTTTTTCTCTTCCCAAAGCATGGAGTGCCAAACTGCCCAGTTACTTCTACATAATTACAATATTAACCATCTCCAGAATTCGTATTACCTTCTCCCGGTGCTTTTTTAAGTGTCAGGCCCACACTTCCACGAAGACAGTATTTTATTTATTTTTTTTACTTGATCCATTGTACTGCAGTGACCTCTAGTGGTTTCTTTCTCAGTCGAGCACGTTATTGTTAAAAGCCGTTGTTCTGAGTACCAGTGTATCTGACTGACTGCTGTTAAATACTGTGGTTTGAATCACCTGGAAAATGATCCCATGACAATGAGCTGAGCACATTGCAGAACAGTCTGTTAAGCAAAAAGAAAAAGACCTGAATGCTGATAAACTATCTACACTGAACAGCATGCTGTGGTTGACAGCATGGAACTACATACTTTATAAAATCTACATAAAAATGTGCAAGTGCAACATATAAGTATGCGCTATATATATATATATATATATATATATAGCAATTATTAAGACAGACATGTTGAAAATGCGTCACAATATCATTATTGGACTGCAAATGAAACCGCATCAACTAGGCAAGAAACCAGTTTGCGAACCACTGCAAAAATTTTTTTTAAAAATCATAAAAAAAACACTGTCAGAAAGAAATCAGAAGAACAAGCTGATGCCTTTAATAGCATTAAACATGAACTGACAATTTATCTGGTTGTAGAATGAAATTTACAATTTCACAATGTTAAGAAGATTCTTTTAGATCTGATTTTATCTGAAAACAAAATATATTGGTGACATATTTAGTGAAATCTCAAATTGTAGTCATTACTCTGGGGGCCCCCCCCGAAGACAGTTTTTTTTTTTTTTTTTTTTACTTGATCCATTGTACTGCAGTGACCTCTAGTGGTTTCTTTCTCAGTCGAGCACGTTATTGTTAAAAGCCGTTGTTCTGAGTACCAGTGTATCTGACTGACTGCTGTTAAATACTGTGGTTTGAATCACCTGGAAAATGATCCCATGACAATGAGCTGAGCACATTGCAGAACAGTCTGTTAAGCAAAAAGAAAAAGACCTGAATGCTGATAAACTATCTACACTGAACAGCATGCTGTGGTTGACAGCATGGAACTACATACTTTATAAAATCTACATAAAAATGTGCAAGTGCAACATATAAGTATGCGCTATATATATATATATATATATATATATAGCAATTATTAAGACAGACATGTTGAAAATGCGTCACAATATCATTATTGGACTGCAAATGAAACCGCATCAACTAGGCAAGAAACCAGTTTGCGAATATATATATAGCAATTATTAAGACAGACATGTTGAAAATGCGTCACAATATCATTATTGGACTGCAAATGAAACCGCATCAACTGGGCAAGAAACCAGTTTGCGAACCACTGCAAAAATTTTTTTTAAAAATCATAAAAAAAACACTGTCAGAAAGAAATCAGAAGAACAAGCTGATGCCTTTAATAGCATTAAACATGAACTGACAATTTATCTGGTTGTAGAATGAAATTTACAATTTCACAATGTTAAGAAGATTCTTTTAGATCTGATTTTATCTGAAAACAAAATATATTGGTGACATATTTAGTGAAATCTCAAATTGTAGTCATTACTCTGGGGGAAAGAAAACATTCAACAGCACAAATAATATTAGATACTATACTAGATAGTCTAGATACTGTCACTGACATGCATACAAATGCACTATTTTCAAACAGTCAAGATATAAAGTATGAATCTAAATTAAAGCGGTGTTTCATCTGCAAATTTATGAAAAGCAAGCAAAAAAAGTCTTCACTTGTTAATCATTGAAAAAGCACATACAACTTTAAAAACGGAAATAAAAGTAAGAAAAACATCAAGATTGTAGTCTAAAAGCATATCTACACAAACAAAATCTGAATTTTCCTGGTGCCAATTGGTCGACCATTTAATTCTTGAAGAGCAGTGAGCGCCTCTCTGTGGTTTTCGAAAGCTACCGTTGCTGAACGTTTGGGAGCTCCATTTCTATCATGCAGCAATGAGGCAGAACCTGGAATCACTTTGTATCCATAGAAGAAGTCATAAATCTCATCGATCCTTATCTGAGAGGGTAGATTGACCAATTTAAGACAAGTCGGACCGTCAAATTGTTGGTCAGGTGATCTGTAACACTGACGTCCATTACCATCCGGTCCCGGCCCAAATGCATCATTGTGGCCAAAATTAGGCTCAAAGCGATCATGACCTCCATAACCCTGGTGCAAATTAGGCTGCATCTCACAATCATCTCGGGGCATCGGGGTGTTCGAAAAACGAGGACCATCGTTGAAAACTTCGGTTCTCTGGAAGTTCCTTTCTTGTGGGCTATCCATCAACTGGTCATTGACGCCAAACTTCTGCATCTGGCCAATCGTTATGCACTTAAGCATGACTTCGGAGCCAAGAAACCTCTGTCCGTTTAGGGACTGTGCCGTCATGGCTTCCTTCTCAGATTGGAAGATCACCAAAGCCTCACCGAGCCCAGCTCCTCTTTCGTCCCGCAATAAGACAACCCTATCCTCTGAGAGCGGATATCCATGAAAGAAGTCCATGATCTCTACCTTGCGAACGTCAAATGGGAGATTGCGCACGTAGAGACACCTCAACTGCGAGTCAGGATTGTTTCGTTGAGACTGGGGCGCTTCTGCTGAACGTCTCGACCCTTTTCCCTCGTCTCTCGAGTCAACAGACGATTCTAACAAGGTGACCATTTTCTCCTTGGAGATGGGTGACACATACACTACCTTGTTCATCAACACTTCCTTATTATGAGCCAAACCAGCACAATAGTCTGTGAGACTTCTAAACACCACAACAGCCGTTCTGGTCTTATCATCCTTTTTTTGGGCAAAGATAATAATCTGATCATCTTTCAAAGAAACCGGATGAAGTAACACCCTCAAATCTCTCTTTTCAACCATGTTAGGCAAGTTCTCAAACATGACGCAGTATTCTTCATGAGAGGGCGATCGTGATCTTGACTTGTAGGAAATGGGAGATCGAGATCTCGCTCGCTCCAAGGACGCTCTTTTCCGACTGTCCGGTTTAACGAGACCTCCTTCTGCCAGCCACTGCTCCTCGGAGCATCTTGTTACTTGGATATACCGCGGTCCAATGTATTCTCGATCCCTCTTCAGACCTTCGACTGCATCCTGTTTGGTAGCAAAGCGCACAATACTCTGGCCGTTGAACTGTCCTCTGGGGTTTCTCAAAAACATAAGGTCTTCAATCTGTAACCCATTGAAAAAGTTATAGACGTTGTCCTTTGTCGCAGAGAATGGCATCCCTGTCAATTTCAGATAAACCTCATCTCTCTCTGACGTGCTTCCTTCTCTCTGGTGTCGTGCCTCACTGAATGACGATAGAGAAGGCCTGTTCCTTATCTCTTGATGATCCGGCCTTCGTATGTCTGCTCTCGGGTCCTTATTGAATGGTAGAGGACCTCGTTCCGCAGAAGGACTTTCGACAACCTCCTTGTACATGCCCCTGCTTTTTAACTCAGACCTTCTAGTGCTTTCCTCGAGAACACTCTGCATTTCTGACTTGCTACTCAGGAGCAAGTTGACAGGAGAGCCCTTAATGCAGCCCCCCGAGCGCGTCATCGCACGTCTCGCATCTTCATCAGATGCAAATATTATGAAAGCTTCCTCAAGCTCCCCACCAATTATATGAACCCCACCATCAGGGATTCTGAGCCCAGTGAAGAAATTGCGAATGTCCTCAGAACCAGCCGTGATTCTGAGTCCCTGTAATCGGATGACCACAGCCATGATGGAGCACACACAACAGGACCTGCAGACAAAAAGGGGCACATATAATAGCGTTATCGCTGACTCAACTATTGCCTCCGTATAACAATATTCAAAAGAGATCCCAACTTTCATTTTCAAACCAAGGTTAAACTGCAAAGTTAAGTGAAACTGACTTCTCACAGCCAAAAAAAAAAGAGTCAACAACAATAACAGCCAGTCTGCAGCAAATAATAACATCTTCGGATCCAGAAAAACAACTTTGTTTCACAAGATTCGAATTAACAGGAAAGGCTAGTTTTACAACCTTCAACATCATTCTTTCAGTTTCCACATGCAAATGTGCAAGTAATATGAACTCCATTCACAATTAAAACTTATCATCTGACCACACTATCAGAGAGAAACTCTGTATCAGTTTCAAGAATTTACAGATATCCGTACAGCTAAAAGTCACATATTGCAAATATGATTCAACTCTGTTCGTTATAATTTTATAATATGCAATTTCCAATAGAAACTTATCAACAGCAGACAATAGAGTACATCAACTAATTAAGTATTTAAAATAACAAGGCTCTTAACATGAAGCTCAACAGCCACTTACAAACTGCACAGCCATCAAACCAAATAATAAAGCAACAGTTCAATACACCGAACACACAATTCCACCTCACGTCAGTGCAACATCTGAACTATAAATGCTTTTAAATCAGTTGTTCTCAAGAAGGGGGCCTCAGCAAACTCAGTTTTGCAAAACGATCTATAATTATTAAAATTTTATGTTTTTAGGCCCTGTCCACACGAACGAGGTTATTTTTAAAACCGCAGCTTTTTCTACGCGGTTTGGCCATTCGTCCACACGCAAACGCAGCAGCAGTTCACTGAAACGGAACATTTTTGGAAACGCCTGCCAGGGTGCAGATTTTCAAAAATTCCGGTTGCAGTGTTATCGTGTAGCCAGCGAAACCGGAGTTTTTGGCTTGTGATGTCAGAGCCTGCGCTGTTATTTCCGCCTACTGGAAACTTTTTCAGGCTTCTGATTGGCCAACATGGCTTTACGGTTGAGATTATATTGCCACCTGTTGGTTAGGCATGCTCTTGACAGTGCTTCATAGCATGCGTTTGCGTTTTCATGTGGACGGAGGAAAAACTCTGTTTATAAAAAATACCCGTGTACGTGTGGACATGGCCTTAGACAGCACAGTGAAGGATAGAGACAGGAAAGAATGAGGAAGGTGAGCAGGGAACAAGACTGGAAAAGGAACACGGGCTGGGACATCTAAACTTCTAAAATAAACAAAATTAATCCTACTTAACATTTTAATGAATCGTATTTAATCATGGTTAAGTCATACAGTATAAGTACTAAAAGAAATACATTCTCTTGAACAATGTGAGGCCTAGGAGTAAAAAAGGGTGGGAACCACTGCTTTAAATGCAAACAATGAGACTCAGAAATGCAGTTTACCCTCGAGCAAACCTTCCATTTTACTGCAAATTAATACACACAAAACTCACACCAAATGTACATCCGAACTGTCTAGGATTAAATAAATTAGAACTATTTTCTATAAACTTCTCTTGTAGAAATTTTTACGT